ATATTTATTAAATTAAATTATTCTATTTAATTGACTTAAGTAATTTGTATTTGGTTCAAATAACTATTTAATAGATACCATAAATTAAAATATTTATGTCCAGTAAATATTTACTTAGTTCAAATAAAAAAAAAAAAATAAGTAAAAACTAATAAGTTTAAATACAACCGAACGAGCGTTAGCGAGTGAGGTATATGTTGCTAGTTTAAAATTATAGTGAAAATGATGAAAACTTTTTGACATATTGGAAACTTTGTTTTAATTTTTAACAAGGATTTTTATAAAATATGACCTTTAAGACCTTTTGGAAAAATTGTAAAAAAAAGTTTATCTGCTTATTATTCCTGAGTGCATCTATGTCATAGGCAAGCTTGCAAATAGGCTTTGTCCAAGGATAATTTTAACGAGAAAAATAATTCAGGACACCTTTTAGAATAAAAGAGTAAGTCGACTTTATAGTTCTCCGTAAGAAGTTTCGTCAAACTTCTAAAGTAGAATTTACCGCGACAGATTCAGCTCTATACGGCCGAGCAATTTTCCTCTTCTACAGTAAAGTACTTCTTGAATAATAATGTATCTACTAATAACTTCGCACCATCTCACTAAGTAATTCTTGAAAATTTCAGTATGAATTTAAAGCAGTTCCAGTAGAATTTAATTCGCATAGTTTCTGTCTAGTTAAGATAAATTTATTTAAGCCTATAATTAATTTCAATAAATCAAATTTCAACTGTTATTAAACTAGACAAATTTTCAACAACAAAAATTTATTATTTAATTAAAAAATTATATTTAATTTCATGTTGTATTACATTCCTTACTATGCGACACAAGGTTTATGAGAAACACTGTAAGAAACTTTTGTGTTCAATATAGCACGGACAGGGTTCGAACTCAGTGAAAATATTTAAAAATACGGAATTTACGGACCAAAAATGAAAAATTACGGACCATTTACAGACCAATTGCTGACAAAAATATAACCAGTCTTCGACTCGGAGTGATCAATTTCTCCACGTTTTATAATAATTAAAGATGACCGAGTGATAAAATTATTATCAATTCAATTATAATTTTCAAGAATTTGTAACTAAAATTCTTCTTTAAATCAATTATTTTTAATAATTTTCGAAAAAGTTCTTCGAGAATTTTCAAATTTATTTGTTTACAATATTCAATTTTACGAAATTTCAATTATTCGTAAATTCTTCAATTAAACATATATTAGAAAATAAAAACTTAAAATAATATAAAAAACATCTGCAATTAAACTTTCTCAAAAAAAATTAATTCCACAGAATTGTTAGTTAAAAGTATGAAAAATTCAAATTTTCAAAGATTTTAATCTGAAACCTTTACAAAATTTAATTACTTTTAAAAATTTACGTTCAAATGCTTTTGATATTCAATTATAATCTAATTTTAACTGAAATCCATTTTTAAATCAATTTTTATGAGAAAATTCAACTAGAATTCAATTATTTAAATACCAAAAAAAAATTAATTGAATAATTGCATATTTTTTAAAATTTAATTTTCATAAAGAATTGTATCAATAAATTTTTAAATAATTGAATTCGTTTGACGAATTTTAATAAAATTTTTAAGAATAATAACATTTTTTCGAGGAATTTGATTAAACTTTTATTAAAAATAATAGAAATTCTGCAATGAGTTTTATTATTTATCAAAATAATTAAATTCCTAATAAGAATTTTATTATTTACCATAATAATTGAATCTCTGTAAAAATTTTATTATTCATGAAAATAATTGAATGATTACGAAGAAATTTATTTAAAAAAATTGTAAATAATGAAATTCCTGTGAAATTTTTATTATTTTTTGAAAATAATTAAAAGGTTTGTGTAGAATTTTTAGAGATGTGCAAAAAGCTCGAATTTCCGAGCCGAGGCGAGCCGAAATTTTTTCGAGCCGAGCCAAGCCGAGCCGGCTCGATGTATCGAGTACTCGAAAAAATCGAGTACTCGGGTAAATTAGAATACTCGATTAAATTCGAGTACTCGAGTGAAATCGAGTACTCGAATGGATTCGAGCTTTTAAATGACAAAAAAACTATTAATAAGTAGAAAATTTCGAATTTATGCGAATTAAAGTCAATAAATCTTCAATTTCAAAGTGTATTTCAATTTGCTAATTATAATCTATGCGAAAATTATATGATTTTTCTCTAGAACTTGAATTTACTTAAGAGCTCGAAAAAATTCGAGTACTCGAAACGTTCGAGTACTTAAAAAAATTCGAGTGCTCGAAATTATTCGAGCTTTTTGGACAGCTCGGCTCGAGCTCGAACTGATTAGGCTCGGCTTGGCTCGGCTCGAAAAATGAAAAGCTCGAAAAAGCTCGATCGAGCCTTGAGCTTCGAGCTTTTTCCACATCTCTAAGAATTTTATTAAATTTTTAAATAATTGAATTCTTTTGGAATGTTTTCTTAGAGTAGTAGATACCTATTAAAAATCATTGAATTAAGAAAAATTTTTGAAAATAATTGTATTTCGGAGAAGAATTTAATTATTTCTAAAGATAATTGAAATTTTGACGAGAATTTTTGAATATAAATGAATTTCTGCGAAGAATTTTATTACTTTTGAAAATAATTGAATTTTTGCAATGAGTTTTATTATTTATCAAAATAATTGAATTCCTAATAAGAATTTGATTATTTACCAAAATAATTGAATCTCTGTAAAAATTTTATTATTTATAAATATAATTAAATGATTGCGATCAAAAATTTATAAAAAAAATTTGTAAATAATGAAATTCCTGTGGAGTTTTTATTATTTTTTGAAAATAATTAAAGGTTGGTGCAGAATTTTATTAAATTTTTTTTTAAATAATTGAATTCTTTTGGAATATTTTAATAGAATAGTAGATACCTATTAAAAATCATTGAATTGATATAAAAAAATCTGCATAATTTTAATTTGACAAAACATAATATTTAACAAAATTTTAGTCTTTGAATGAAAAGAAGTGAAAAAAATTCTGATGATTTCTATTTGTCATTACAATTTTGAATTAATTATAAAATAAAAATAATTATAACATAATAATATAGTGTACAATCTATCTAAAGTTAACAAAAAACAAAAGTATAAACAAAAGACAACTTTAGAATGTGAGGGACAGAAAAAGTGAATGAATGAAAAAATGAAAGGACCTTTTCATTTAAGGAATCTGTACTGCGCAAGCGCGGAATATATATAGAACTTCCGACAAAGTTTCGAGCACTTTTTGTACAAAATGCACAGTGCCAATAGTGAAAAGTAATTAAAAAATATTGCTAATGAATGTTGAAAAAAAAATTAGCGTGTATTAAAAATGAGCAGTATCCCTGAGAAAAATAATCCACAAAGGAAAAAAATTGATGCACAAAAGAAATGTTGTTTTGGGAATTGCAAAAGTGATACTCGTTGCAAGTCTTATTTGACTGAAAATTATTACTTTATTTCTTTCCCAAAACCGTTTAACAGTTAGAAAATGAAATATTAGGAATGAAAATATTCGAAGTAATTGCAAAACTTGTCAAGTATGTCGAAAATGAGACCTGTTGGTAAGGTTATGTTCATAACATAACATAACCTTATTTACATGTAAACAATATAGACTTTTTTACCCTTTCAACACTGACTTCGTCTTTATAACCATATTTTTAATTGACAGACAGTATTTTTCTCTACCTGTTCAAACATTAATTTTGCTTTTAGAATGTCATTTTCATCGAGTTTTTTATTTGAATTGTTATTAGCACAATATACATTCTGACACAAAGTTGCTCGAAAATTTTGAAATCGCGCCGTCTGTCATGGCGTAGCTCCAACTTCCGGTCTTAAATGAAAAGGTCTAATAGTTAATAGTTAATTTATCTTTAAATTAAAATTTTAAAATTTGATTATCAATTGTTTCATTCTATTCAAGTTAGAAAGAATTGATTTACTTCATTTAAAAAAAAAGAAGATCGAAGAAGTTTAAAAATAAATAAATTTGGGTTGTCAAGGGAAATGAGTACTCAGCTCAGGAAAGAAAAGAAAGGAAAGGATTCGACCTCTTTCATCCACCAACTTTCAGAGAGGAAACAGGCTTTTAAAGATTTCTCATAATTTCCTTTCAATTAAAGTTTTATAAAGAATTTAATATTGTTTAAATTATGTGTGAGTAGTGTAATAAGTATTCGTTATAATTATATTTCAAGAATATTTTTTGGAATTATTTCATCTTATTGTTCTAAATTAGGTGAGATATGTAAGTTTTATTTTCAGAGGAAGCATATATGCTTAAGAATTATAATTCTTAAATTATAATTTAAATAATTAATTCATTTTTTCCATTAAATTCAAAAAATTTAGTAGATAGATACCTATTAAAAATTTTTAAACATAATTGAATTTTTGCGAAGATTTTTATTACTTTTGAAAATAATTGAATTCCTCCAATCATTTGAGATTTCCCTAAAATTATCCAAATTATATCGTACAGTTTACGGACTTTATGGACCTTTTTTCAAAAGAACGGACTTTTACGGACTTCAAGCAAAGCTACGGACTTTTATGGAATTTACGAACCTAGTTCGAGCCTTGATGTCATGGAAAATTACATGCCGTAAAAATTCTATAAATAAAAAAAATTTTATTGTTTGAATTTCAAGGGTCATTGTTTCTAAGTTTAACGATATTCTTAAAATGAGGCACGCGTCAAACTATATTAATAGACAAGATTATAAAGGCTTCCCTTTAAAAATAAATTGTAATGGATTTATGAAATTCTCTTGCATCCAAAAGGATACAAGAATAAGGATTTATTTTTAAAATGATAAAATGACAGGAAAAGGGAATTCAATTTAGATTTGTTTCACTTTTTAAAAAAGAAATGTCATCAGTGATTAGAATTGGTATAAAGTTTTTGATATTGGATCAGAGATATTTTCAACGTAAAATTTGTATTTCAACTGTGAGTAATTGATTTTCTGTTATTTACAGGTGGCATGGCTACGAGTTGACACGCAAACGATTTTGACCATAGCTAGTCATGTTATCACGAAAAATCATCGAATCGCTGTGACGCACTCAGGACACCGCACATGGTCTTTGCACATAAAAGAGACAAAAGAGACTGACAGGGGTTGGTACATGTGTCAGGTGAACACTGATCCAATGTCGAGCATAACAGGTTTCCTGGAAGTTGTCGGTAAGTTATGCGTTATTTTATTTCCCTTTGTTTGTTCTTTTTGCATGAATATTTTAAAATAATGTCGAAGGAAAATATGAAAAAAGCATAGAAATTATTTTAATGTACACTTAGAAAAAAGTAAAAAAAAAATATTTTTAATAAACAAGTTTAAAAAGGCATAACTTATCATTTTTTGTTCCAGTTTTTTTCATGATAAACTATATTATAAGAAAAGCTTTTTTAATAGAATTTAGTTTAAAAATTAATTGTTGTTAACTTTAAATTTTTTTACCATTATATTTTTTAATAATTATCTTACCAATGATGGAAAAAATTATTTAATCCAGTAGAAGATAGTAAAAAAAAACAAAAAGCTGAATTACCGAATAACTATTGGAGCAAAATTTAATTGATTTGGTTACAAAGCGACAAGTTTTTCAATAAAAATAAGATCTTATTAGTTGATATAGTTTGACGCGTGCCTCATTGTTAGAGGATCTATAAATTTGGAAACAATGTCTTTTTAAATTTGATCAATCACATTTTTTCTATTCATATCATTCACATGGTATGTCTAGGAAAATTGCTGAATACATGCGTATTAATAGTTTTTATTAATAGTCTGGCTTTCAGAACCGCATTGACTTCAAAACTATTACTTTAGATTTTAATTTAAACCAGTCCTTGAAAAAACTAGTAGAGAAATTTAACATTACTAAAGACATTAAATTTTATCATTTTAAACTAATCAAGTCAGCGTTAATAATTTATGACTATTTTGGAAAATTACTCAGTCCAATAATATAATGTATTTAAACATGACAAGTTTTTAACGGTTTTTTAAAGAATGTCAACACTTTTTTTGATAATTTAATAATGTTTATCTGCTTTTGTCTTTTATTTTTAACTCATAGTGTTACGATTCGTTCTCTTAATGTTGAATAATTCTGACAGATTAAGGAAATAATTCGTTGTTTAAAAAACAGAAATAAGCATAATTTTGTATACCGAGGAATGTACCTTCTTTTAACGGTGTTTAGAATTGTGTTGAAGTAAAATGAATAATTGAGATAAAAGATAAGGAAAACTGCGTGCTTTAATTGTGGTGATGCAGGTCGCAAGTTAGAGTCGTCTGTAAGAAAAACCCAAGCAGCTTTTCTATGTAAAGAGAAGTACGACGATAAGATGAATATTAACCATATTGTCGGAGTTTGCGGAGTCTTTCAAACAACCCTTGGAAAGGCAAAAAAGACTCACAGAACTAAAATTGTAAGCAGATTTCCCAAAAGTCCCTATGTACAAAAAAAATTAACGACTAAAAATCTGATGAGTACCATGTTTCCTCACTATAGTATACAAATAGATACATCTTACTAATTTAGTAAGTGAGTAATCTTCGATCTTTTAAGTAATATTTTACTTGTATCAAATTTTAATGATTAGAAATGTTTGAAAAATTTGACCTACTTTAATTTTGCTTGTTTTGGAAATCTGGATATTGAAACTCTATCAAATATTCATCAACATCTTAAATGCTAAGTCGCTAGATTTAAGATAAGGAAGCTTCAAACACCGAAAATGCTAATCAATTATTTGTTTCTCAAAGCCCCGATGCACCAACGTACAAAGGAGAAAAGATTTTTACACACAAATCAGATTTTAAAGCTCTGACATTTATAAGTACTATTATCTTTGAATTTACTGAGGCTCTTTTAAACTCATGAACAGCAGTAAATTACGAGTTCAATGTACTGGGTAAAATAAATATAAACTCATCGTCTTCTATTCTGTATATAAAGCAGGATTCAAACACCGAAGTTGACTATAAATAAATAATTAAATTCTATTGCATTTATTTGTAAGAGATGTCAATAACGATGAAGATAGGAAACTTTTTTCATTTTTTAATAAATAAATTAAAATTTTTACACAGTTTTTTTGTTCTTTATTGTTATGTTTTGTTACTTCCATATAATTTTTACAATCATTTATACGTACTTATACAAATGCACAAATATATAACTGAATATATGCGCAATTATTATTTTATTGTAAAGTGTTAAAGAACATTATTAAATGAAACATTTCTACATAAAGTCTCAAACCATAACTTTAAAATCATAGTTAATATTTTTTGAAATAATGTATACATTACTACTATTATCTGAGAATTTAAATTTATTTAACCTAGTACCCACAAACGGCGATTATCATTCGATTTCAATTCGAACATTCGAAATTTATCGGATTCTATAAAAGTTTATATTGAACCTAGAGTTCAAAGTTTTAAATATTGACTTGTCCAAGTGTGCATTACTATTGCTAAAGATGAGCCATAGCTGATTCCTCTAAAGCATTTGATAAAGTGGATCATAGAATTGTTGTTAATAAATTAGAAACCATGGGTATATCTTTAAATCTGATTTTATATTTTAAAAGTTACTTATCGGATAGATTTCAAGTAGTAAAAGTAAGAGAGGGTTACTCTATTGCATTTTTAGCAACATCTGGTGTTTCCCAAGTATTAAATCTTTGTCAACTTCTGTTTATTATTCACATGAATGATATTAAGCTGGTTTCCAAGAACTCGCTTTTTCTACTTTATGCCGATGATCTAAAATGTTATAAATAGATCAGCCCTGAAAACCTTTGTGTAGATAATTTCAAACTTCAATCCGATATCAAAAGTTTGAGTAAATGTTGTGACAATAATTTGATACCCATAAATATTGAAAAATTAACAAAAAAAATAGTCAAATCTTTAATCAGTAAATACCAACAAATCTCACAAGAATATCTGAAAGGGAGTTCTGTCGGAAAAATTAACCAAAAAGGTAAACTTGGTTATTCGAGACACGACTCTTGTCAACAGAAAAATACACATACCAAATCGTGGTTCAAATTCAAATCATCTATCTATACTTTCCATCCAGAACCAACGATAGTAAAACAAATGTAAAGTCTCTTACAGTAACAATTCAATGTCTTCTCTCATCAACATTTAAAATCAAACTATCTTGAAAACGTGTTTTCGTCGTCTGCTACCGTTTTTCGCGAAACGCCAGAACCACTTGTCAATTAAAAGGAAGTTATACTGGATTTAATACTTCTGACATTAATCATTTATAATTTCTATTTATTCGTGCTTAAATCAAAAAGACTGATGGATTTCCAGTAATTATTTTTCATAAGAGAAGGATATTCCATCCGGAAATTAGGATATCCTTAGGAAATTTTTAAGATACCTATTAATTTCGCTATAGAACATCCTACCCTCTGGGCACGGAAACATCTTTGTTCTAGAAACGTTTTTAGAACGTTTCATGTCCGCTACATAACGGCTTAAGATCGTCCAATGTTCTAAAAACGTTTTTAGAACATAAAACGTTTTTAAGGCGCTATGTGGAGGACATGAAACGTTTTAGGAACGTTTCTAGAACAAAGACGTTTCCGTGTCCAGAGGGTACGGATATCATAAAAACTATTTATTATAGGTTATCAAGATCAACCCATAGATCTATATTATCATAAAAACTATTTTTTTATAATGTTTTAGATTTTTATCTACTTAATATCCATAAATTTTTCCAACATTACAAAAATACAAAACAATTTTTTCGTATCATAATAAAAGTAATGTTTAATTTAAATAATAGCTTAAGAGATAATGTATGAGAAATATTCCCATAAAATGATTGACTTTGTGTAAAATTCATTTGATTGTAGAAAGGATTGACCATATGAAACGCCAGAGGAAATCCCAGAGTAACATATTAAAGGAGGATATTATTACCCTTATTAGGGTAGCTCGCTATTAAATTTTCCCCTGTCAGAACGGTTGGAAAATTTCGAAACTTTGTCAAACTTAATTTTGCGAGGCTTACTAGGTGTAGAGAAACGATGTTAATTCTTTTTTAAAGCAAAGAACATGAGAAAAATTTAAAGTTATTTTTTTTAATGCATTGCTTTATATAAAGACACGCACCCAAGCATAACCGCCCATTTTCTTCCCTCGCAAGGAGAGAGAAAGAGACCAGCGAAGGTTCCATGCAAATATATGTAAAGTACGCTATACACTGGCCGGTAGACGATTGCACTCTTGGAGGGCTATTAAACACCTTCCTGGCGACGTGCCTTTGGCCCTAATAACCCACCCTGACTCCTCGAGACTATCCTCCCTCTTTTAGTGTGTTATATGTACGTTTTGCTCAAATATATATGTATATACACACACGCACAAGTTCTCCGTGGAATGTGTGTGGAAATCGCGTATATTATAGTCAGTGTACATAAACGTAGTTTAACCTCACCGCAACCCCTCGTTAAATTTCACCCTTATCACGATGGAGCTGAAGCCGGTCAGGTTATCGAGGTGCGAAAATAAGAGATCGTCCTACTCACTTCCCTTACCTCTTTTCTTCTTTCGATCCTCGTTTATCGATCGAATGGTTAGCCAGCGTTTTATTGCACACCGGCGGGTAAGAGCATTTGTAAAGAACTTTCGACCTCGATTTATGTCAGGTTCCGGATTTCATTGAAGATCTAAGACGAGCGACTAAAAGAGCACTCGATTCATCTTCAAAATCGCTTTTCCAAGTGTGTATTACCAAAGTTTGCGTCAAAAACTGACATCAAAATTATGAAAAATTATAGAAAAATATATGTGAGTAATTATAAAATTTTTTTTTCTTTGTTCACTCCCCTTCTCTGGAACATCTTTAGGACATCTTTGAGACATTTTTAGAACTTTTGTAGAATGTTTTTAGGATACTTTGCCCTCAAACACAAATTCAAATACGGAGCAATAAATTTATGAATCTTTTTTTATTTTGTATTTTGTAAGGGTAGAATTTACAACGATTAATTTTCTCGAAAAATATTTCATTGACAAATCTGCATCACTTTCCATTACAGAAAAATCGATTTCTCAACACGAACAAACTTCACAAATCTCATCAAGGAATTCTTCAAAGACAAAAGCCGCGATGCAATAACACAGCTCCTAGAACAAGCTGGAC